CAGTTTATATGGATAGTTTTTATTTTTTACAACAACAAGCTGCAATGAAAACAAGCAGAAATGAAATAAAAGGAACAACTTTAAACTTCTTGTCTTTTTAAAAAATGTAAGGAGTAAAAAGTAGGCTGAAGAATAATTACTCAAGTAAAGTAAAGATACCCAAAAATTCTACGTAAGTACAGTAAAGAAGTATTTGTACTTAGTTACTGTACAAGTCTGAAAACAGCAGATATGAAGTTAGTATCTGCAACAAGTTCAAAGTGTTTTTTAAACATTTGCAACAACACAACCAGTCTTTAGATGTTAATACTTTCTGTATTTTCTCTGTAGTGATGACTGATAAGGACACACTCAGTGTTTACTGACCTCGGTGACGTCCATGACTTTGATGGCTGCCAGTTGTCCAGTCTTGACATGTCGACCCTGGACAGAAAACAGAAGAACACAAAGGAGATGAGGAAAATCTAAACTCGGTCTGCATTCACCACAACAACACACCACAATGGTCACCARTCCCTGTGTTACAGAATGAACAGCCAGGCTGGAAGACAATCAAATACACAAAGATTGTTTCACTGTTCAACGTCCAGTTTGTGTCCTGCAGAGGCAGCACAAACTCATGACACAAATCTGAAGTTATTTCTCATTTATAGACAGAGAAAAGCTTCAGGGTCAGAAAAACATTTCAAACAAGRTGTTCACTGACAACATGGAGAATTACAGTCAGAGACAGAGAAAAACTGCAGCACAAGTTACTCAGAACATCAAGTACACAAACTACACAAATAGCAACAGGTAGGAAGAGAACTGAGACTACTAATGTCTCATGATATGGTATCGTTTCAGACACATGGATCCTAAGTTTAACCAACTTTCTGCACTGATGAGTCTGATTATCTTACAGTAAAATGTACAACTATGGAAGAGCATTGCATTCACCAAATAAAATAAAATTTGGACTCGGATCAGGATCTCGTAATTATGAGAACAAATCTCATAAATATGAGATCTTATCTCATAATTACGAGATAAGATGTCATAATTACAAGATTAGATCTCATAATTACGAGATTAGATCTCATAATTACGAGATTAGATCTCATAATTACGAGATAAGATCTCATAATTACGAGATAAGATCTCATATTACGAGATAAGATCTCATAATTACTAGATAAGATGTCATAATTATGAGATAAGATCTCATAATTATGAGATAAGATGTCATAATTACGAGATAAGAT